GCAACAACAACAACTACTACTATAAATACAACTACTATTACTAGTGCTATTGTTACTACTACGACTACTACTGCGACTGCTATTACTGCTACTACTGCTGAGACGTCTCCTACTACCACTTCTACTATTACTTCTATTATTACACCCCACTACTACTGCGACTTCTACTACGGCCACCACTACTACCACCACCACTACTACTACTACCACTGCTACTGCTACTGCTACTACTACTACTACTACTACTACTACTAGTAGTAGCAATACTACTACTACTACTGGTACGACTACGGCTACCACTGCTACTACTACTACTACTACTACCACAACTACTACCACTACTGTTACTACTGCTACTACTACTACTACTGCTGCTGCTACTACTACTGCTACTACTACTACTACTACTACTACTACGGCTACTAATACGAGTACTACTACTATTGCTACAACTGCTACGGCTACGACTACGACTACGACTACTGCTACTACTACTACTACTACTACTGCTACTACTACTACTACTACGACTACTAAAACTACTACTACTCCTGCTACTACTACGGCTACTACTGCTACCGCTACTACTACTACTACTACTACTACTACTACTACTACTACCACTACCCCTACTACTACTACTACTACTACTACTACTACTACTGCTACTACTCTACTACGACTACGACTACGACTGCGAGTACTACTACCACTACTGCTACCACTTCTACTACTAGTACTAGTGATACAACTCCTACTACTACCTTTGTTACTACTACTACTGCGACATCTACTATTACCAGTGTTACAACTACTATTTCGACTGCTAATACTGCGGCTACAAAATACTTCTTCAAGTACTACGACTACTACCACTACATATACTAGAACTACTACTACAACTACGACTACAACAATTACGATTCCGACTACTACTACGACTACGACTACTACGGCGACGACTACTACTAGGAGTAGTACTGCTACTACTACAATTACTACTACTTCTTCTAGTACTACTACTACTACGGCGACGACTACGACTACTGGTACTCGTTTGGCTCCTACTACAACAACAACCCCTACTACTACACCTACTGATGCTACTGCAACAACTACTGATACGACTGTTACTACTACTACTACTACGACGACTACTATTACTAATGCTACTACTGCTACAATTTCCACCGCTACTGGGACAACAACAGCTAACTACTCCTACTACTATTACAACTACTACTAGTGCTATTATTACTACTACGACTACTACTACGACCACTCTTACTACTACTACTACTACTACTACTACCGCGGAGACGTCTTCTAATACTACTTCTACTACTATTTCGGCCACCACTACTCCCACCACCACCACCACCACCACTACTACTACTACTACTACTACTACTACTGCGACCATTACTACTACTACTACTAGTAGTACTACTACTACTACTACTGCTGCGACTACGACTGCTACTACTACTACTACGACAACTACTACTACTACGACTACTACTATCACTACTACGACTGCTACTACGACTACTACAACTACTACTACTACTACTACTACTACTACTACTACTACTACTACTACTACTACTACTACTACTACTACTACTACTACGACTACGACTACGACTACGCCTACTACGACTACGACTACGACTACGACTACGACTACTACTACTACTACTACTACTACTACTACTACTACGACTACGACTACGACTACGACTACTACTACTACTACTACTACTACTACCACTACTACTACTACTACGACTACTTACTACTACTACTACTACTACTACTACCACCACTACTACTACTACTACTGCTACTACTGCTACTACTACTACTACTACTACTACTACTACTGCTACTACTGCTACTATTACTGCTACTCCTAGTACTGTCACTACTTCGACTCTACCGCTGCACTACTACCACAACCAATACTACTACTACTACTACTACTACTACTACTGCGACAACTACTAGTACTACTACGACTACTACTACTACTACTACTACTACTACTACTGCTACTGCTACTACTACTACTACTACTACTACGACTACGACTACGACTACGACTACTACTACGACTACGACTACTACTACCACTACTACTACTGCTACTACTACGACTCGTTTGGTTACTACTACAACAACAACTCCTACTACTACAACTATTGATACTACTGCAACAACTACTGAAAATAATGCTACTACTATTACGACTACGACGACGACGACGACTACTACTACTACTACTACTACTACTACTACTAATGCTACTACTGCTACAACTACTACCGCTACTGGGACAACACCAACAAGTACTACTATTACAACTACTACTGCTACTAGTGCTATGGTTACTACTACGACTACTACCACGACTACTATTACTACTGCTACTGCTAATACGTCTTCTACTACTGCTTCTACTGCTACTTCGGCCACCACTACTACCACAACCACCACTACTACTACTACTACTACTACTACTACTACTGCTAAGACTACTAGTAGTAGTAGTAGTAGTAGTAGTAGTAGTAGCAGTAGTAATAGCAGTAGTAGTAGTAGTAACACTACTACTGCTACGACTACGACTACTACTACTACTACCACCACTACTACCATTACTACTACTACTACTACTACTACTATTACTACTACTTCTACTAGTGCTATTATTACTACTACGACTACTACTACGACTACTATTACTACTACTACTGCTAACACGTCTTCTACTACTACTCCTACTACTACTTCAGCCACCACTACTACCACCACCACTACTACTACTACTGCTACTACTACTATTGCAACTACTAGTAGAAGCAGTACTACTACTACTGCTACGCCTACGACTACGACTACTACGGCTACGGCTACTACTACGACGACTACTACTACTACTACTACTACGACTACGACTACGACTACTACTACATCTACTACTACTACTATGACTACGACTAGGACTACTACTACTACTACTACTACTACTACTACTACTACTACTACTACTACTACTACTACTACTACTACTACTACTACTACTACTACTACTACTACTACTACTACTACTACTGACTACGACTACGACTACTACTACTACTACTACTACTACTACTACTACTACTACTACTACTACTACTACTACTACTACTACTACTACTACTACTACTACGACTACTACGACTACGACTACGACTACGACTACGACTACGACTACGACTACGACTACGACTACGACTACGACTACGACTACGACTACGACTACGACTACGACTACGACTACGACTACGACTGCGACTGCGACTACGACTACTACTACTACTACCACCACTACTACTACTACTACTACTACTACTACTACTACTACTACTACTACTGCTACTACTACTACTACTAGTAGTACTGCCACTACTTCGACTCTACCACTACACGACTGTCACTACTCCGACTACTGAGACTACTGTTAGTATATCTACGACCGTGCGGCCACCACCCGGAATCTCCACCAACTCACCGAGTACGGAGACTACCGTTAGTATCTCTACGACCGTGCGGCCACCACCGCTTGGGGCACCCTGAAGGGCGCTCGACTGGTGGCGCCTTCCGGTGCCCCGTCCGCCTGGGAGGCGGTGGGCGGGTCGGAGAGCGTGGGGGTTCCCGAGCGGTGTCCTCCTCCTCCTCCTCCTCCTCCTCCTCCTCCCTCCCAGAAGCCAGCAGGGGGGGTTCCCAGAGCGGGGGTTCCCGCCTGGGCGCGCGTGTCCGAACTGGGGCCTCCGCAGACGCCACCAGGGGGAGTTGGTAGGGGGAGCTCGTAATGGGCGTTAGTACCCAGACTCCTCGCATCGCAAAACAAACTGCGTATTTTTTGTTGCAGTGTCTGGCCTCTGCGGTCCTCGCCGGGCACCAGGATCGTCAAGCAACGACTCAGGATGAGAAGCTAGTCCCAGGGAGAATGGGACGAGACTCGGCTACACGCAAGAGTGACCCTGTGTAGGAGTGTCCTTTGGTGCGCGGCTTTTTGTGACCGCGGGGGGGACGAAAGCGCGCAAGCCGCTGCTACCGCTTCTCTTTCGGCCATCTGGGGCCCATCTGTGCCCGCACCAAAGGTCACTCCGGCGAAAGGTCACTCTTACGCCTAGTCGAGAGACCTTTAGGGATCCGCTTTGCGGAAAGAACACGACGTCGGGGGTCTGGGAGGGGAGTCAGTACAGGAGTCACGGACGGTAATAAAGCTTGTATAGGAAAGCTTGTAGGCACGTAGGCAGCACAGTGGGCACGTACGAATTAGAAATGAACGCTCTGTACGATAAGAAAGGCTCATAAATCCAGGGCCGCGTCCTTCGTCGACCCTGAGCTGGGTAGGGTGCCCCTGGAGCTCTGCGGGCCTATCGGGACCCAGGGACGCCTCGCGGGGCACCCGCTGGTAGGCCGATTGCTGCTTCGGTGTGCCAGCCCACCCGGCACGCGCGGGCATGCTCGCAAGCCCCCGCCCGCCCCCTTTCTGTCGGACACTACGGTGTAGGTATTGGACACGGAACCCTTAGATGATGAATATCCAGGGTCTGGAAGCCAGTGGAACTCCAATCGAGGCTTGGCCATGGATATCACCGCCGCCCTCGTTGGATCAAGAATCCTCCAGGGTCTGGCGCCTCCTGGCACTATTCCTTCACAAACGCCTCCACCGTATCCGCTGCCGCGAGGGTCCACGTAGTGATGCCTTCAGCTCCCCGTCGTTACCCCCCCTTGCCAGACCGGGATTCCTTCGCGCGCGGACTCCAGGCCTCGGAAAAAAGTAGCGAACACTCATGCCACATTTATCTGTCAACGCCTCCCCCTCACCCCAATGTTCAAAGTTGGCGGTGGGTCTGATGAGTTGCACCTCGCCCGCAGTCTCCCCCGCACGTGCCAACTTTGAGTTTGGGGGGCACGGGGGGTGTTTACGAATTGTTTCCCTTTACCGTCTGGAGCCCCGGCCAGGCAGTCCAGGCTGCACGCGTCCGCGTACACGAAAATCGAGGCGATCACCATGCCGACGCCCAGCGCGGCCTGCGGGCCCAGCGACCCACCCAGGAACGCTGTCGACACGACCGTGGTGTTCACGATGGCCAGCGTATTGGCGAAGTTCTTCAGGATGTTGTCGGCGTACTTGACCACCTCAGTTGCCCCGATGCGCAACACACAACACGTGGCGCATTGATGCGGAGCTCAACGCGTGGACTGGAAACGTAGGTCCGACGCGATACGTTCGCCAAAACGTGGGCCAATACGTGGAGTCAACACGCAACGAATTGACACGGACGTCTTGAACACGGGACGTGTCGCGTCTCCTCGCGGGCGTATCGAGACAACTGGGCTGACCACCGCCGCGACCAGCAGCCCGCCCAGCGCATTGTTGCAGATGGCGAGCCACACGCACGGCCTGCTGAGGGGGGCGATAAGGGGGGTGCTGGCTCCTGGGCGGGGGACACCGACCTGGACTCGGCGATGCATCGCCGATCGAGTTCGGTCGGGCGTGTCCCCCTACAGGCAGACTTTCTAAGAAACATAGGAGATGGTCAAACATATTCAAGCATGGTCCAAAAGTGATGAACAGATCGCCCCCAGACTAAATTCTGCAATATTTTTGAATATGCCTCCTGTAGGGGGACGTGCCCGACTTAACGATAGAGCGGCGATGGGCCCCCGATGGGGAATCCGCGCGTCCTTTTGGCGGCGGAGGGGGCAATCGTCGGGGGCAAGCAAACACGGATTAGCGATCCGTGGATCTGGCGCGCGGTCGCCAAATCCATGGATCGGGGGAGGTGCCGTCCCCAAAAAGGCGGCCCGTGCCGCCTCGCTCGGCGGCGGGAGCCCGCGATTTCCCACGGCAGCGGGGCCCGTCGCTAACCCACGCCCCCGTGATGCATGTTTACGATCGCCTGATATAGGTACGTGCCCGACTTAACGATCGAGCGGCGATGGGCCCCCGATGGGGAATCCGCACGTCCTCTTGGCGGCGAAGGGTTATGTTGCTCTCATCGTACTTGAGGATCGCATCCCAGAAATGATTTCGAGCACGCCGAAAAGTACCGAAACAATGTCGAGCGAGTATGGCGTCCCAAGGCCCGACACGTGAAAACCCTCCAGTTTGGGTACTTTCTTGGTGCTCGATTTTTCTTGGTGGTTCAAGGCTAAAGTAGGCTGGAACATCAGAAGCGGAGGGGGCAATCGGGCCCCTATCGATTGGCGGTCGGTGCATCCCCCCTGCGCCGCTCCCCCACCGACGTCGCCCCCCACCTGTAGCCGGAGAAGAACTCGGAGGGCGCGCCGCCCGACTGGCGCCAGGTCGCCAGCCCGATGAGGCAAGAGAGGCACGCGAGCTGGACGTTGCGCGCGACCAGCGAGACGGCCGAGTCCTTAACTTAGCTTTAGGTCGGACGTGTCCTCCTACAGGCGGATCTTGGGCGAAAAATAAAGCAATCCCCCAACATGTTCAAAATGGTAGAAAGGTCGTCCCCAGAGCATTTCGTGACAATTTTTGACTATGGGATATACCTCCTGTAGAGGGACAGGCCCAACTGAAACTGAGCTGCCCCAGTACGCAACACGCAACCCGCAGGGTGTTGACACGGAGCTCAACACGCAGGTTGAACACGTACGTTCGGCGCGATGACTGCACCCAAACATGCGCCGACACGTTGAGCCAATACGCAGCGTGTTGACGCCGACGTTCTGAACACGGTGCGTGTTGCGTTTCGGCGCTGGCGCATCGGGGCAGCTGAGGTCCTTGAGGATCTTCTCGAAGTAGACCCCCGAGAGCCCGGAGAAGGCGCAGCACGTCACGACGGCGACCAGCCCCGTGGTGACGCTGCGCTCTCCTCGGCGGGCGAGGCCAGCAAGAGGCGGCCCAGGCGGCAGGGTGGCTGCGAGCAAGACAGAGCAAGAAACCATTGCGAACCCACGGGCGAGCCGCTTCCCGAGTCCGGGTTCGGCGGCCGAGGACGCGGCCCGCCACCAGTGCCTCTGGCAACCCAGTGGCGCAACCAGTGCCGGGGCCCGAGGTGCTGGCTATGGGCTATGAGTGGCGCAGGCCCGTGGCGCAGCCCACGGGGGGAGCGAGAGGGAGTGTGGCCAAGACGGGGGCCCTGCCCAAGGAGGCCGTGACCGCGCCAGGCCTCGGGCGAGAGGCCCGCGGGAATCAAGAAAGGGGTGGCCCGCGAGGAGCAGACCTGGGAGGCCGCCCGCTGCAGCCAGCGTCCTGCCGCAGCGGGCGGCGGAGCAGGAACGAGGGGGCCACTGGTGGCCACGGAGAGCCCGGGCCGCGACGAGATCTCCCGGCCCGGAGCTCAGAGACGGTCCGAGGACCGAACCCCGCCCTCCCAGGCCAAGAGCGGCTCTCATGTCGGCCGGTTTCGCTTCGTCTTCGGCCCCCCGCGATGTTGAGATCTTAGCTGGAAGCCCATGTCTCTCTCTCTCTCTCTTCCTCCTGCCCCCCCGCTTCCTCCTCCTTCTCCGGGCGATGAAGGTGAGGTGGAAGACGAGGAAGATGAGGAAGCGAGAGGAGCAGAGGATGAGGAGAAGATGCAATATCAGGATGCAAGGAGATGAGGATGAGGAGAGGAGGGGGATGAGAAGGATGCCCCCCCCGCCCCATGCACGGCTCCCTCATGGCTCCCCCCATGGTTCCCTCATGGTTTCCTCAGGCTCCCGCCTGAAAAGTCATCCAAAACGCAAACAAAAGGAGGCTCCCGCCTGAGTCGGAATGAAAGCGGTTCCTTTTTCGAAGCCTTTGAGGGCCGAAAGCGCCCTATACCCCTATACCCATCCAGTCTGGATCTCCTCCCCCATCCCCCTTCTGAAGGAACGCAAGAACTTCGGGAAAACCATTGGAACAACCAAACAAACCAAAGAAACTGAAGAGCTGGAGGCGAACACTTTTAGGACAACCATCGGACAAAACACAAAACAATCAAACACCACATATTCCACAGAGAGTGCGGGGATTCCCTTTGGACGTGTCCCTTCGGACGGGTGTCCCCTGGAATGTTTTTTTGTTCTTGGTTTGCGTGGTTCTTCCAATGGGTGTCCTAAAGTTTTCGCCTCCAGCACTCCCGTGTCTTTTTTTTCATGGTTTACACACAGTTTTTACATTCCTCAGAAGGGGGGATGGGGGAGGAGGAGGGGGAGGAGGAGATACAAGATCAGGATACAAGGAGATGAGGATGAGGAGAGGAGGGGGATGAGAAGGATGCCCCCCCGCCCCATGCACGGCTCCCTCATGGCTCCCCCCATGGTCCCCTCATGGTCCCCTCAGGCTCCCGCCTGAGAAGTCCTCCGAAACGCAAACAAAAGGAGGCTCCCGCCTGAGTCGGAATGAAAGCGGTTCCTTTTTCGAAGCCTTTGAGGGCCGAAAGCGCCCTATACCCATCCAGTCTGGATCTCCTCCCCCATCCCCCTTCTGAAGGAACGCAAGAACTTCGGGAAAACCATTGGAGCAACCAAACAAACCAAAGAAACTGAAGAGCTGGAGGCAAACACTTTTAGGACAACCATAAGAACAACAACACAAAACAACAAACAAACACCACATATTCCACAGAGAGTGCGGGGATTCCCTTTGGACGTGTCCCTTCGGACGGGTGTTTCTTTTTGTTGTCCACTGGGTTTCCTAACAGTTTTCGCCTCCAGCACTTCAGTTGCTTTGTTGTTTGGTTTTCTCATGGTTTTCCTAAAGTTGGATGGGGGAGGAGTAGGGGGAGGAGGAGGACGAGGAAGAGGAGGAGGAGGAGGACGAGGAAGAGGAGGAAGAGGAGGAGGAGGAGGAGGAGGAGGAGGAGGAGGAGGACGGAGAGGAGCCTTAGGGAGGAGGTCAGGGGAGGGGGGCGCCTCTTCGTCGTCCCCCTCCTCCTCCTCATCATCATCCTCCTGCTTGTCCTCCTTCTCCTCCTCCTCCTCCTCCTCCTCATCCTCCTCGTCCTCCTCGTCTTCGTCCTCGTCCTCGTCCTCGTCTTCGTGCTCGTCCTCTTCCTCCTTGTCCTCCTCCTCCTCCTCGTCCTTCTCCTCCGCGACGCATCAAGAGTCAATACATCGCGACCGTGCTCGGCCAGGGCCACGCTGGGTTCTGGCATGGTGTATACGCCCGCTTGGCCTGGCAAGAAGATCTCTTCACCATCGTAAGGCCCAGGACGTGGTGTAAAGACCCATCCTCCTCCTCCTCCTCCTCCTCCTCCTCCTCCTCCTCACCCTCTACGGGGGCGGAAGTGGCGCGCTCTCCTGCGTCGGCGCCGCCGGCCGGCTCGTCCTGGTCGAGGACCATGCAGGCGGCACCCCCCACCTCGGCGCCAGAGCTCCCCCCCCAGGCCGCCCCGTCCGCGACGGAACCGCGACCCGGACTAACTCGGAGCCGGAGAGATCGGCGCTCTCTGTAGGGGGCCACTTGCGAACCCTGCCCCTACCCCCCACGATGTCTGAGGGGGAGGGTGGGGTTCTCTTCGCTCGGGAGCTTCTGAATTAAGTGAACCCCACCCTCCCCCTCAGAAATCGTGGGGGGTAGGGGTAGGGTTCGCAAGTGGCCCACTGCTCTGAGATCCCAAGGAGGATGCACAGTCGGCTGCACGTATGAGTGACCCGGGGCAAGAGTGACCTTTAGTGCGCGGCTTGTTTGCCTCTGCGTGCGGTGCGAAAATTTGAGCCAGGACCGACCGTCCCCCAATATCAAAAGCCTCAGAACCACAGGAAGATTCTAAGAACATGTCCTGCAAACCACGAGAGGCTCGCAGAACATTCTTTGGTGGTCCTGTGGGCAAGCCGGGACGCCTCTCGACTGCTTGAACAGTGGCGGCGTGCGTGTGTGGGCTTGGGCCCGCAGCGCCCCCCGAACGCCGCGCAGCAAAAGCCACCCTGGCGGCAGGCCGCTCTGACGTGCCTCCGCGCCTGGCACCGCGGGCCGTCCCGGAGCGCCCCGGAGGAGCGCTCCCCAGACCCCCGCCCTCATGGTTTTCTCGTAACGTCCACCCCGGGAGGTCTCGACCCCTTCCCCAGGACCAGTTTCACATCCCGAGTCGTTTTCTTTGGTGGTCCCCAAACCAGGTGGCGAGATATCAAGTGGTGACCTGGAATCTCCAAAAAGTCACCCCCGGGTTTTGGGACACGGGCTCACCGCCGGGTCTTGTGACTCCTGGGCCCACCAGCGTTCGGGACATCCTCGAACAAGCGCATGAGTCCCCAAACCGGGTGGTGACACCAAATCGCCCGAGACTCACCGCCAGGTGTTGTCACCACCACGTTTGGGGACTACCAATTTCTGACGGTCCCGAGGCCCGGCGAGGGCCCCCCGGAAGCTGAAGACAGCGGGAAACCTCCCGTCCCGATCTTTCCACAACGCGAGGGTCGTGGACGCCATGGCAATGGACACCCTGACAATCCTATCACTGAATCAGACTTTTGCTTGAAGTGTTTGAAAGATGCTCTAAACTTATTTTAACTGTTCTGTTTCTTGCTGTTCAGAACTGTTTTAAACATAGTTGAAGCATTTGTTGTAGACATCTGGAAATTATTTGGCAACATGCTTCCTCTCCATATATCGTCCTCCACAACTCGGGGGCGGCCAAGAGGGGGGCGTCCAAGAGGGAGGAGCGCAAATCATGGCTGGCGGCATGTGCGCGGCCCAGGGGGAGAGCCAGGAACGTATTGAAACAAGACGAGGCGTCAGGAAATCTGGGGAAAGATTATGGCCCACGCCATGATGTCCCCCCCCCCCCAGTCACCACCCCTCTCTTTATCGTCCTCCACAACGAGAGGGGGTCTGGGTCCGCAGTGCTCTATGGGGCACGCTGCCCCGGTCCTGGGCCGCCCTGGGCCGCTCAGCCCCTCGCGGCCCGCGCCGCGCCAGGCGGCAGTGTTTGAGCAGGGGCCGACCGTCCTGGCATTCCTGGAGGCTTACCACGACATGTTTTTTCCAAGAAGCAATTCCACTAGCATGGTGTTATCTCACACGCGAGCCGTTCGCATCAAGAGCAGAGTGACAAGAGATCGCGATGCAGATCCGAGGCCCCAATTGAAGGGGGTGAAGGCTGATGCTGCACATGAATCAACTTGATGCCAGAAGACAAAAAACACCAGCCACGAGGGGGGGAACGAGGAGGAGAACAGAAGAGCGAGAGGTGAACGGAAGGATGTATCTAACCGTTGTGAGTGCATTCCCCCTATGAGCCGAGGCCCACCACGAAATGTGCTTAGAACCCCCAAAGTGTTCTCATGACCAAAGCAGCTTTCTTAGAGCATAAGCCCGACTTGTTCAAACAAGACAGGCTCCGCCAGAAATGTTCTCCAAGAACATTCCGTGCAGACCACAGAAAGGTTCTCAGACCATTCTTTGGTGGCCCATAGGGAGGAGGAGGAGGAGGAGGAGGAGGAGGAGGAGGGGGGAGGAGGAGGAGGAAGAGGATGAGGGAGGGGGAGGGGAGGGGAGGGGGAGGGGGAGGGGGAGAGGGGGAGGGGGAGGGGGAGGAGGAGGAGGAGGAGGAGGAGGAGAGGAGGAGGAGAGGTCCGGACGCTTCGCCCTTGCTCGACATGCGGGAGAGCGCCTCCCCAGAGATCCGATGTCGTGACTTTTGCCGTGCGGGGTCCCTGGAAGTCTCGACCCGTTCCCCAGGACCAGTTTTTCATCCTGGGTCCTTTTTTGACGGTCCCGGGGCCCGGCGAGGGCCCCTCGAGGCCGAACAACACGAAAGACCGACGTCTTGATTTGATCAGTGCGTTGGATCTCTGGGTCCAGGACGCCCGCGCCGCCGCCGCCGGACCGGGGGCTGACGGGCTTGTTTTCCACCACCACCACCACCATAAGTTGGAGGGGGGAAGGCGGTGGAGGAGGAGGAGGAGGAGGAGGAGGAATAAGAAGAAGAGGGGGAGGAGAAGGAGGAGGAGGAGGAGGAGGAGGAGGAGGAAGAGGAGGAAGAAGAGGGGGAGGAGCACCCCCCTCCCTCGAACTCGTCGTGGTGGTGGTGGGAAACGGGCCCATCGGGGGCGGCTCTCCTGGGCCCGTGCCGCGAGCGGCGCGGGGGGTTCCCGGCCCCTCCGCGCCGGGGGCGGCGCGGGGGGCGCCCGCGCTGCTCCGGGCCGCGCGGGCGCTGCAGGCGTGAGGGGCAACGATAGCGGGGGGGGATGGGCATAGGGGGGAGGGCATCGACCCCTAGGCCCTAGGGCGTAGTGGGGGGGATGGGCATAGGCGTGAGGGGCAACGACCAGGGGGGGGGATGGGCATAGGGGGGGATAGGGGGGGGGATGGGCACAGGGGGGGGGATGGACAGGATAATAGGGGGGGAGGGCGTCGACCTGGAATTGGGGATACACTGGGACGCACAGAGACATACTGATGCCGTGTGTCCTTCTCTGGAGGCGCGCGTCCGACCCGAACGCGTAGTATGCCCATCTTGTAGTATGTCGTTGCCCGAGTGGTGTGGCCAGAAAGCGCCCGCAACGACGCATATTCTATAAGATTTCTCGGTGCGCGCGTCGCCCCTGGGTGGGCGACGTGTTGGGGTGACGCCGATACATCGCCGATAGATCGGCGATAGGCCTCCGATGGTGAATCCGCACCTTCCTGGGCAGATTGGGGGTCGATGCATCCCCCCCTATGCCTATTCCCCCTATCGTTTCCCCTGAAGGCGTCGGATCGGATCGGAAGTCGGATCGGGTAGGACGAACCCAGAGATCCAACGCAGTGAAGAAAACAAGACGGAAGTTCTCCGCAGCTTTCGGCCTCTGGCGGTCCTCGCCGGGCCCCGGGGCCGTCAACAAAACGACTCAGGCTGAAAAGCCGGTCCTGGCGAACGGGTCGAGACTTCCGGGGACCCCGCTTCACGACAGCGGATCTCTGGAACGCTCTGAGCGGTCGCTGGAACGCTCTGAGAGCGTTCCGGAACGCTCTGCAGCGGATTCTTACTCTCGTCCCTCCTCCCTCCTCCCTCCTCCTCCTCCCCCCCCCCCTCCCGCAGCGCCAATACCTCTCTCCCGACAGTTTTCGGGACGAGAGCGGAAGCAGCTCAGCGTCCATGCTCTCGGGCTTCTCGTGTGCAGCCTGTGCCAGTCCTGTTGGCCGCTGCGCTCAAGCTACCTGCAACGAGCTTAGTACAGTCAAAAAAAAAGCCTCCTCCTCCTCCTCCTCCTGCTTCTCCTCCTCCTCCTCCTCCTCCTCCTCCTCCTCCTCCTCCTCGACGCTCGGGACGCCTCCCGCCCAGCGTGCCCCAGTCGACACGGACTGGCGCTGCTGTGCGCAGAGCTTCCCGCGTGGCGCCCCCCGGGGGGGCAGCTCCTGGGCGCTCGGCCATGGCGGGCGACGGGCGGCAACGGCGAGGCTCCGGCCCTCCCACGGAAGGGGCCCTCGGGACGCGCACGAATCACTACGGCAGGTTCGTGTCGTGCCGACCCTGGCGTTGGTTTTTGACACCGCGCTGGATCGTTCAACCTTGAACGATCGGCCGTTCCCGCAACGTCCAATCGTTCAACATCGACCGATTCTGGGCCGCCGGCGGCGTTCAACCTTGAACGCCCGCGCTGGGGTCGCCGCTGGTCGACACGACGCAGACCTACCGGACACGCGCAAATACAAAGGCCAGGATTTTTCTCCTCTTTCGCATATATGTTCTGGGCGCTTCTGTCTTCCCCCCCCCCCCTCCTCCTATCTCCGCATGTTTTCCGGGGAATCGACGATGGATTGCGTCTGTCGGGCCGGGCGAAAGGGGGGGATAGCAAAGGGGGGGTTTGAGAATCAGCTCACGTAGCTGATTTTCCCCGCGCCTCCCGGCGCCGGAAGCGGCTATGTATCGAGGAATGGGCCCCTCGGTGAGGCCGAAACCAGCTGCATGCAGCAAATTTCGTAACCCCCCCCTTTCCCAATCCCCCCCTTTCGCCCGACCCGAGTCTGGGTGTCTTTCTCCACTCCTGACCTGCCCCCGCCCCCGCCCCAGGAGGTGCAGCCGGACCTCGGCCGTCAGAGCATCTTTGAAGAACAGAAGGCCCTCCGTCGGCCCCCCCCGAAAACAGAACAGCCAAGGGTGCCCTCCCCAGAAATACGTCGGGCGTGCTCCCCAACAGGGGGATTTGCGACGACAAATCAGAACAGATTCAAACAATACCCAAAACATGCTCAAACATAGTAAAAACATAGTCCCCCGGCTATGTTTTTACTATTTTCGAATATTCCCCCTGTAGGGGGACAGGCCCGACTTAACCCCAGGATGCAGAAGAGCAAGAAGATCCAGCAGTCACGAAGAAAACTGGGGCACCCTCCCCGAGCCGACCTCGATCTTACACCTCGGTCCGACCGTGCTCGTGCAAGCGTCGACAACTTCCTGCACAAGATCATCACTATCTCGGACGCTCGCCCTCGCGGCACCGGTACGGAGCCGGAATCCAATCGGATCGGCTGCGCCAGGATGCATCACAGCGCCGAGCACGCACCGGGTCGCGCCGTGCCGTCGGCACATCGGGAAGCCGCATCGGGCCGAGCTGGCCGGTGCCGACATGGGACCGGCTCGATTGGATCGAACTGGGCCCTGTGTGGGTGGGTTTAGGTCGGGCATGCATGTCCCCCTATAGGGGGATTTTGGGCGAACAAAAAAATAGTAGAGGAAAAACGCACCAACATGTTCAACAATGGTCAAAAAATCGTCCCCAGACGATTTATTTACCATTTTTGAATGGCACCTCCTGTAGAGGGGCAGTCCCGACTTAAGGGTGGGTGGGCGACGGAGTGGGGGCGAGGAAGTTTTGGCTGTTTGCTTTTTCATCCCCCGTGCGCGAATGCGCGCAGCAAGCCCGACGCCCTCGTGGGGCGCGAGGGAAGGCCTGCTCCCGATGCCCCCCTCCTCTGCCCGCGCCTCGAGCGTAGCCAGGGCGGTCCTGTCCTCAGTGGTCATTCGGTGGCAACTCATGGGAGCCTCCCATACCAACGTGTCGGCTCTTGCGAATCGACGCCAATCGACGCCGGTCGACGCTGAATCGGCGCTAATCGACGCGAGCCGACGCTAATTGGCGTTGTCTCATCGACACCCGGACGCCAAGCGACGCCGAAGACGGAATTGAGAGGGCATGCCAAGCTCCCATGATTTGCAACCGGATGGTCCGCCTCTGCGTGCCGATGGCAAGGCGTCCTCCTGCGCGAAAACCTCACCCGCCCAAGTGGCCGACTCGCACTGAAGTGCCCGCTGGGCAGTGCCAAGAGGTCAGCGCCACCGCGGCCGCGTCGGTCGCGCCAAACTAGCTGGCTGCTGCGCTCGCGAGCATGCGCGGGCCAGCGCGGCCGCAGAGATGCGACAGCCAACACCAAGCGCTCATCGCACACGCCGCCGCACGCGCTCTGCAGAACGGGCTGCGGGTGGGCGGGCGGGGCGATGGCGCGACCAGTGGAGCTGACGACTGCGGGCCCCGCACGTGAGCTGCACGAGCAGATCCTTCCTCCACTCCCTCCCGCACGCCCGGCCCGGCGCCGGCACCCAAGACGATGCGCGCGCATGCTTCCCTGACAGAGTCGGGGGCAGAGGGGGGCGGGCCCTTCTCCCAGAGATGCAACGCAATGGAAAAATCAAGACTGAGGTTTTTCACAGCGTTCGGCCTTGAGGGGCCCTTGCCGGGCCTCGGGACCGTCAGAAAACGACTCAGGATGAAAAACCGGTCCATAGGAATGGGTCGAGACTTCCGGGGACCCCGTGTTGAAAAATTCAGGATTCAGGACATCGGATCTCTGGGTCAGAGGGCTCAGAAGCTGAGAAGCTTTCTGGGCTTTCTCCAAGGCCCCGGCGCCTTCTGAGAAGGGCCACCCCCCTCTGCCTCCCCCCTTTGACGCGACGCTGACACCTGACCATGGAAAGCCACAATGGATTTGCGTACGAGCAGCACATGTAAAAGGCAACCGTGGCGGGCGAGGGCAAAACATAACGAATGTAGGTACAGTGGGGGCTCGGCCACAAAAAACCTCGCAAGAACCCCAACCTGAATTCCGCGATTTGTTCGGTGAAAATCCAATTTCGTCGATCGAAAATAGTCGAGATCGTATTGGGGGCCCATCGAAATCCAAGAAACCCAGGGCACCGTCGCAAAATCCCACTGGCTTCTTGGCACGCGCCCCCACTGTTTGTATCCTTGCTCTCTACTCTCTCTAGCTCTCTCACACACTCGTCAGACACCCCCCATGTCGCCAGAAAGTACTACAGTGCTGGGGACCCGAGCCAGGAAGCCAGAACCAGGGAAGTCTCAAACTGAATCGCTGAGAGCCCATGAGCCTGTGAGCCTGGCCGTCTACCGAAATCGACCAGATTTTTGCCCAACTCCCCGCAATCTACGCGAGGACCCTTTATGTCCAAGCGCCGATTGGGGGATCCATTTTTTTGTTTTGCAAATGCCCGAATGCACATCTCGCCCAAGCAAGCCGCAAAACCGCTCACTCGGAGATGCCTTGAGCTGACTTCCTCTGGGAATTCTGCCGCATACATGTCCAACGGCGACAAGGATGACAGAGGTCCAGAACCCGAGGAGATAGAGGATCATTTCGGTGGCTCCTCGCCTGGCAGTCCTGGCAACTCGGCGAAACCACCTTCGCTGGTATCGCCGTTCCCAGTGGCCAGCATGGAGCAAGACAGTTCTCGCGCTCCAGCTTCAGGAGGCCGCATCCAATTCCTATTACGACCTCCGAGTTTGTAGAGCGCTGTGATGGTGAGCGCGCCAGCGATGAAACCGACGAAGGTCCCCGCAATGAAGAACACCTCCCTCTCGTGCTCGTTTCTCGCAACGCTCTGCGCCAAGCGCGCCTTGCCCCTCTGGAGCCGCTTCTCGTCCGCTTCGTTCTGGGACACGAGGTCAACAATCTCCTCTTCCATGGTTCTAGACGACTGCGTGCAATACGGGCGCTCCGACTCCGGCACGCTCGCGTTGACAATGAAGCTGTACCCCGTGGGGCCCCCCACCGACAGGCACTTCCTGCCCGAGAGCACCACCGCCCACATCTGGCTCGCCAGGTGCTTGGCGGCGCCCTGCCACCCTCGCGCCTGCCGGAGCGCCTGCCCGCTGCAGTCCTCCGAGGCGTAGGGGGTCTGAGTGACATAGGATCCGTCGCCACTGCACGCCCACTTCATACTTTTCGGATCTCCAGGTGCTCCAGAATACGAATAGCATAGCTCTGGCTCGTTGCTGATGCCAAATATTTCACGCTTGCTGAACACGCGCTGCCCAACCGTCGCGTTGTGCGAGTAGGCGCCCCCGCAGCCTGCACGGTGCCAGAAGCTCATGACGAACGGCGTCGACGAAATCTGGAAGTCGGTGATGGCTGGCGTTACCAAACTCGAGGATACCGCTGCTACTAAGCAACGCATCTTCTGACTACCTACCAGACCACCCCAACCCAACCCGAAGACCCGAATTTCGGGTTGGGGGGGGGTCAGGGTTTCATATGTGTTTTCTCAACACTCCCCGACCCCCCCCACTGGAAATGGAAGGCAATTTGGAGCCTTCGGGTTGGGTTGGGGTGGTTTGGTGGGTGGTGATCTTCAGGTCGAGTCAGTGGCTACTACAGGAGGCGGCGAGCTGCGCACACGGCCGCGGCCTTGGGGGAGTCGCGCCTTGAGCCCAAATGGCTACGGGATTGGGGAATGAAGTTTTGGGGTCTTCGATTTCTGGAATGCCTAGCGTGCCCACTCGTTGGGATCATGCCCCCAGTGTTCTCCAGCGAGTCCCTACTGACCATGCCGAGGAAAACGGCTAGGCGAACGATCGCCCTGCCCGGGCTCGCGCCGACACTGGCGTCCCCCCACATCCTCTCTCATCTCTTCCTCCTCTCTCATCTCTTCCTCCTCTCTCCCGCTCCTGTTCCAACTCCCCCTCCTCTCCTCCTGTTCCTCTCCTCCTCCCCTTCCCCCCTCGCCCCTTCTTTCCCGCGCGCATCCCTCCTATCCCCCTCCTCCTGGACTTCACTACCCTCCTCCTTCTCCTCCTCCTGCTGCTGTTGCTCCTCCTCCTCCTCCTCCTCCTCCTCCTCCTACTCCATCCTTTGCCCTGATAAACAATTTCTCCCTTTCGCATCCCCAGGCGTGTCGGTAAGGCGGGCCGCGCGTTTCGCCTGAGACTTCCCCTCCACTTCTGATCCTCAAGCTTGAAATTTGCAACAGTCTCAGAGATGGAGGGCGGGTGGTCTTCAAACTATGGCTCTCGTCTTAGCGCCGCGAACATTCGTCCTAAAAGTTCGCAGCAGTTTCACGAATAGAGGGCGGGTGGTTTCAAAATGCGGTTCTCGCCTTCGCAAAGCACGAACTCTTGACCATCGTTTGCGACAATTTCAAAGCTGGATGGCGGTTCCTTTTCAACATGTGGCTCTCACCTTAGCGCCGCGCGCATTCGTTTTGAACAGTTCCAACCGTTTCAAGGATTGAGATGGATATCGTCCCAGGAACGGCGGTCTGGCACGACTCAGGGTCGGCAGGACGCAGCGGTCACCCTGACTCGCGCTGTGGAATTCCAAAGGTGTCCTGGCATTGTTTAGGACTCGCAGGACGGTGGTCTTCCAGTGGGGCACTTCCTGCAATGAGCACAACTTCTTGTAGTGACCTCTGGAAAAGGGGACTCGGAGGAAGGGTTTATTGCAACATCGTTCGTTGATGCGCCTTGGGTTTGCACTGGTCCTCCTCCCTCCGCCTCCTCATGCTTCTCATCCCGCTCATCTCCCCCTCGTGCTCCTCTCCTCCCTCCGTTTTTCTCCCCTTCTTACTCACCTCCTCCTCCTCCGCCCCCCCATTTGCGAGGTCCCGATCGATGCATCCTGGGTTTACTTTGGTCCCCCTCGTCCTCCTCCTGCTCTTTCTACGGAGCGGGCGTCGATTCCACCTCAATGTCAGACGCGAGCGACGGTGGATCGCGATCGGGGTGTTCGGCGCGGCTCCAGACGAACAACAGGGCGGACGAGGCAAGCAAGCCCGCCCGCGCCCGCCCGACGCGAGGAGGCGGGCCTCCGACGCCCTGCGCGCGGCACACACTCGAACCAGCCTCCTGCTCTGCCCTCGAACTGACTGGGCACGCGCCCTCGGAAACTCCACGCCTCAGAACAGGACAGAAGGCTGGACGCCCGAGTTATCCGGGGTAACTCGGGCCCGGGGTAACTCGGGTTCGGGCTCCCGAAAAACGAACCCGAGTTAGCCCTGACCCGAGCTACCCCTGATGATTCGGGGCTCTGGACGCCCGAAGTATCCGGGGCAACTCGGGTCGGGGATGACTCGGGTTCGGATTCCCGAAAACAAGCCCGAGTTAACCCTGACCCGAGTTACCCCTGATGATTCGGGGCTCTGAGAAGGCTCCAACCCCTCCCGCACAACTGCCCGGCGACCCCCCCCCGCCCATCCCTGGGCCCCGCTGGCGGCCCCTCCCGCAATGGAGATTCCTTTCTCGGGAACCTTCCCCATGATGAGTGCCACTGCATCCCATGCATTTCCGGAGGATTTTCTCCGTGATCTCGAATGCTCGGCAATCCCTGCGATTTCCTGAAGAATCCAACGGACTTCCGGGCGATGCCCTCAACAGCCTGGAGGACTTCCCCAAGAATCTGTTTTTGGGATTCCCGCATGAGTTTCACGGATTCCTAAGGCATTCCAAAGAGTTACTGAGGAACCCGAAGGATGGTTCAGGATTCCTCAGGAATCCCAAGGAGCCCCAATGAAACCGAATGACTTCCTCAGGCGACGAAAGGATCCCCCAGGCAACAATCCTGGGGATGCCCTCCAGAATGCGGAGCGCATGGTACCAATCCGGCAGAAATTCTTCCGAAAGAACCAGAGTTCCTGTGGGGCTCAACGGACTGTGCCAGCGATCGGGGGGAGGAGGAGGAGGAGGAGGAGGGGGAGGAGGAGGAGGAGGAGGGAAGGGAGGGGGAGGAAGGAGGAGGAGGAGGAGGAGAGGAGAGAGAGGAGGAAGGGGGAGGGAGGGAGGAGGAGGAGGATGGAGGAGGAGGAGGAGGAGGAGGAGCAGGAGGAGGAGGAGGAGGAAGAGGAGCGAGGAGCGAGGAGCGAGGAGGAGGAGGAGGAGGAGGCGGAGGAGGAGACGATCCTGCGCACGGTCAGGAAATTCGGGGTGGCGTGTCGCGGCGGCGGTCCTGGAGACACGCCATGCCCTGCGAGTGGATAGCGTGCCGCTCCGCTCCGCGTGACGGGAGGTCGGGGCAGGCTCGCGACGATGACGCCTGGGGACTGGGAGGCGGATGGGCGCGTCGCGCCGAAGCGTGATGGGCCAGAACCGGCGAAGCGACACGCTAACCAAGAGTGACTGACCGTAGGATCTCATTGCGCGGACTTCGCGGCTGACTCCGCCCTCCAGTTTGGAGGCGGCCCTGGGGTCTGCATTGGTTGGGGCCCAGACAATCGGCCAGAGGGGAATGAAGGCGAATCCGTTCAAAATCTGCCTCCAGACCGCCCGAACAGGTGCTGGGCCACCTCAGACCCCAGCCAGCTCCAATTTCCAGGTGCCTCGAGACGCCGCCTATTAGAAGGGGGCCCAGGACTCACAAATAAGTACACACAAGTAGCAGGATTCCCTATCTTTTCCCACATTTTCTGTGCTTTTGTCTTCCCCCCACTTCCCATAGTTTCCCATAGTTTCTTGGGAATCGGCGATGAACAATGCCTGTGATTTCCCTTTCTTGGCTATTCGCAGAACGAGGCCCTCGGCTATACCCGCAAGGGTGACCCTGAGAAAAAGTGACCTTCGGTGCGCGGCTTCCTTGGGGCCCTCCTCCTCCTCCTCCTC